TTGGGGGGGGGGGGGGGTTGAGACAGGGTCTCGCTATATAGTTGAGACTGACCTGAAACTCACTATGTAGTCCAGGCTGGTTTCGAACTCACAGTGATCCTCCTGCCTCAGCCTCCTGAGTGCTGGGATTACACGCTTGCGCCACCACGCCTGGCTACTTTGTGTCTTTTACAAATCAAATTCTAGCCTTAACTCTATTTCTCTTTTTTTATGGTACTGGGGATGCCCAGGGATAACCACTGAGCTATAGCTTCAGCCCTTTTAATTTTTAAATTTTGAGACTAGAGTTTTGCTAAATTGCTAAAGCTATCCTTCATTTTGGGATTCTCCTGCCTCATCCTCCAGAGTGGCTGTGATTATAGGTGTGCATCATGGCAGCTAGTTGTTCTTTTTTTTTCTTTTTCTTTTTTCCCAGTGCTGGGGATTAAATCCAGGGCCTTAGGCACAACAGGCAAATGCTGTACTGCTGAGCTACACTTCAAGCCCTTCAACTCTATTTCTAACTTGTTGTGTGACTGAATAAAGTCACTTCACTTGTGAACCTTTGTGTCTTCATCTGTGAAGTTGTGTTGATATGGGTCCTGAGAACATGGGTTTTGGTTAGAAATGCTATTGCTTGGGGAGAATGGTTTCTCTGAAGTTAACTGGGTCAGGTTTATTATTTAACTCCCAAGTTAAGGGTCAGGTTTACTATTTGGATTCCAGTCTCACCAAGGAGAAAGGGGGTGGTGAAATGATAAGGCCTAAGGTGATTATCTACTTAGGGGCTGTGTACAATGCTAAGTGCTTTACATGTACTCATTTATTCAATTCTCGCAACCTATGAGGTAGATTCTATTACTATTAGTACCCTCTTTTTACAGATGAGGACATTGCGGCCCAGAGAGCCTAAGTAGTTTGCTCCAGCATCATAGAGCTAATAAAAGTAGAACCAAGATTTATTTCCTGGCACCTGACTTCAGACCTGTACCCTAACTCACTGCTTCCTTCCATGGTGGTCAGCTAACCACTGAGAATTTCATTGTTTTCCTTACGTGTTTACCATAAAAAAGGAAAACCCTGCTGCTGCTCTAAAGCAGTTAGTCTTATTGATAGGTTCACTAAGCTTTTTCAGGTAGAAGTTACTGCTTGTGCCCAGCTACCACAAATTACTTTTATTTTTTTTCTCATTGAGTTTATTGGTACATTTTAGGTATACAGTACAGTTACATTCGTCATTGGGATCTTGTACCTCTACATGATAGGTCTTGGTTCTCATTTTTTCCCCTTGTCCCTGCCCTCCCTTTACTCCCTCCTCCCTTCCCTATTTACAAATACTTTATTTCCATTTTCTTATATTTTTTTCTTTTCCCTTACAAATTTACTTTTATGGTTTTTTTTTTGTTGTTTTGTTTTTTGTGCTTGTGCTTGCAAGGCAGGTGGCTGCACCACTGAGCTAAATCCCTGGCCTCAAATTACTTTTAGAAGTCAATTTAGGGTCGGGGATTTAGCTCAGTGGTGCCACTGCCTTGTCTCCTAAGCTCAGAACCCCGAGTTTGATCCTTGGTACCAAAAAAAAAAAAATCAGTTTAGATCAGGTAAATTTGATGAATGCATTGGTGAGACTTTTTTTCCTTTGTGATACTGGGGATTGAACTGAAGGCCTTATCACTGAGCTACATCCCCAGCTCTTTTTAATTTTTAAATTTTTTATTCTTTGGTACCAGTGATCAAACTCAGGACCTTGCTCTTGTGAGGTAGATGTGGTGCCTCTGAGCTAAATCCCTGGCCCTCTTTTTTATTTTTTATTTCAAGACAGGGTCTCAACTAAGTTGCCCAGGGTGGGCTTGAATTTGGGATTCTCCTGCCTCACCCTCTCAGCGTGTTGAGGTTACAGGCATGTGCCACCATGCACAGCTCATTGGTAAGATTTTTAAAAATAGCTGTAGTTTATTTATGTTGTATATTCATATAAGAGCATTGCCTATCTGTAAAATCATATAAAAAAGTAAGAATAACAAGAATTTTATGATTCAAAAGTTTGAGATCATGTCTGATGTTCTCTCAGCTTTACAGATTTATAAAGAGCCAAGAATGTTTAAGTACCTTAAAGATATTGTTAGAACCCACAACTGTTAGAACCTTTGGTTCTAAGTAGGAGAAATCAACTATGATAACAAAAAGGGGGGACTTTAAGAATGTAAGCACCCTGGGCAATTTAACTACTTAGTGAGACCTTGGCTCAAAATTTAAAAAGGATGAGGGATGTAGCTGTGTGGTGTCACTGGATTCAATTCTCAATATCAGAAAAAAATTCAGATAAGACCAAATTCATAGCTTAACTTTTTTTTTTTTTTAACTATGTAGTTGAGGCTGACCTGGAACTTACTATGTAGCCCAGGCTGGTCTTGAACTCACAGCAATCCTCCTGCATCAGCCTCCTGAGTGCTGGGATTACAGGCATGCACCACCATGCCCGGCTTGATAGCTTACTTTATAAATGTGTCAGTAAAGTAGTTCTGACAAGCATTATTACATTGTCTTATATATTTTTTATATATATCTGATACACACATATACATTTTAAAATATTTATTTATTTTTGGTACCGGGGGTTGAACTTGGAACCTTGCCCTTGTGAGGCAGGCAGTGGAACCACTGAGCTAAATCCCTGGCTAAAAATATTTATATATTTCTCTTTTTATGTGTGTGGTACTGGAGATTTTGCCTAGGGCTATTGCAATGAGCTACATCTCCAGCCCACTTTTTTTAACTTTGAGGCTGGATCTAGCTAAATTGCTTAGGCTACTCTTGAACTTGTGATCCTCCTGCCTCAGCCTCAGAGTGCTGGGATTATAGGCATATGCTATCACATCTGGCTTTATATATGACATGGTGAATGTTTAAATTGAAAAAAAAAGTTTGCAGTAAAATCCACATTGCAATTATATTCCCCTCAGAATACCCTCTCCCTTCACTTGAACACATACTTCCAGTTATTCTTGCCACTGTTTGAAGCACTTCTAGAAGTCTTCTTGTTGTAAGTGTCTTTGTTTGTGCTGTTATGGCTGCCTCAATGTCTTAGATCAATTAAAAACATTTACCTGTCATGCCATTTTGACTTTGGAGAAGAGCCAGAAGTCACACAGTGCCATATTCAGGGAATAAGTTGGCTGAGGACACATGGTAATGTTTTTACAGATGGGTGGAGGATGAAACTATTGGCCCATTTGTTATGCTGTTTTGTTTTTTTTTCTTTTCGGTACCAGGGATCAAACTCCAGACCTTGTGTTTGCGAGGCAGGTGACGGCACCATTGAGCTAAATCCCTGGCCCTGTCAAGCTGTTTTTTATGCATGTTGTTTTTTAGACATTTTAATAAACCCTTATGATATTCAGAGTTCACTGTAGTGTTCCTTAGTACAAACTCTTTTTTTCACATGAGGAGAGCTAAGTACTTTTCCATTGAGAACTCTGAACCTTGGTCTCAGGATCATAACCATAGGCCCAAGTTTCATCTCCTGTGATGATATTTCTGTTTTGTTTTATTTTTTTGTATAAGGGCTCAATCTCAGGACCTTGCACTTGCAAGGCAGGTGGCAGCACCACTGAGCTAAATCCCCAGCCCTCCTGTGATGATATTTCTTAAAAAGCTAGAATCTGAGTAGCATGAAGTTGACAAATTTCACGTTAATTCATTCTTCATGATCTGTGATTTATGGGATACTTTAAAACAGACCTTTTCTCAACCTTTTCTCTTAGCTCACAACTACAAACAAACTGAAACATGTCATACACACTGTTACTAAGGTTCAATGTACCCCTTGTATTTTATTTCAGCACAACCCTTGTATGAAGACCCATGCCTTTCTGTTGGTAGCTTTCCTTTGGTAGCTGCATTCACCATAGTTTTTGATCATGTCTCTTAATCATTTTACTATATTGACACACACACATACTTGTTTTGTGGTATTAGAAATTGAATGCAGAGCCACTCTACCACTGAGCTACATTCCCAGTCCTTTTTAAAAACATCGTTAAGACAGTGCTTCTTTGAGTTGCCCAGGCTGGCTTGGAACTTGAGATCCTCTTGCCTTAACTTCCCAAATACTTGAAATTACAGGTGTGTACCATTGTGCCTGCCATAAAATATATTTTCTCAAAAATTTTCGATTAAACCCTCCTATGGTCTACCTTTCCAAAATGAATAGTTTCAAAAAAAATTTTAGAGAGCTTCTTGCTGTGTAGCCAAGGCTGGCTTTGAACTTTCAATATCATCCTACCTCAGCCTCCTGATGGCTGGGGTTACAGATATGCATCACTATATCAGGAAAGTTTTTTTCTTTTTTTGAGATGAGGCCTTGTTATATCACCCAGATTCCAAGCTCCTGGGCTCAAGCGATCCTCCTATCTCAGCCTCTTGAGTACCTAGGACTAGAGGTATGCACCGTCACAACTACCTGACATTACATACTTTTTTGTAAATGGAAGCTAATAAAATTTTTGATGTTAATTTCATCTTGTGCATACTTTCCTGTCTTAGATAAGTGAGCATTTAGTGTGATAGAATCAATAGCACTGAAGGTAGCTTAATAGACAAATAGGACCAAATGTCTCTTGATAAGATGAAGAATACAACATTTTTAAAAACTGGAGGAGGACAGAATTAGGGTTCTGTTTAGATGTGTTGATTTTGAGATCCCAAAATGTCCCTGAATAGGGCCCCTGGAAGAAGTATGTATTAGGTAAATTAATTCGACATCACACATTATCAAGGTAGTGATGAAAGTAGGTCTTTTTTTTTTTTTTTTTTTTTTTTTTTTTTGTTTGGGGACGATCTG